TTAGTAGTTAGGTTAGGAAGGTTATTAATTTGGAGCATTCAGCACGCTACCAATCCTTAACATACCATCACCAACTCGCATCAAAGACATCCAGCGCCTCGCTGGACGAGTAGCTACCTTCAATTGATTCATCTCTAAATTTGCTAACAAGTGCCACCTCTTCTTCGCCATACTCAAGAAATCCAAGAAATTTGAGTGGACCCCTACCTATGAGGAGGCCCTAAAGCAGCTAAAAAGGTACCTAACCTCTCCCCCACTTCTTTCCAAGCTTGTGGTCGGGAAAAAGCTTTACACCTACCCAGCAGTCTCGGAGACAACCATCTCAGCAGTATTAGTCTAGGAAGACAATGCGAAACAGCTACCAGTTTACTATGTAAGTAAATCATTCCTCGATGCCGAGACATGGTACAGTCAGCTGGAGAAATTGACATTTGCCTTCATCCATGCATCTAGGAAGCTCAGACTATACTTTCAATGCCACTTCATAATTGTCCCCACCTTCTTCCCACTCAAGAAGATACTCCATAAGCCAAAGCTATCAGGCCGACTCACACAATAGACAATAGAGTTTAGTGAGTTCGATATATCTTTCCAACCACGCACCACCATCAAATCCCAAGCGTTGGCAGACTTCATTGCTAATTTCCCTCCGAACACTACCATCCAACCGGAAATGGAGTTATTGTGCATGAATAGCGGGTCATCCTCAAAGTGGATCCTCTCAGTGGATAGCTTAAGCAACGTGAATGAAAGTGAGTTAAACGTTGTACTTATTACACCAGAAGGGGATATCATCTAGCGGGCCATACAATATGAGTTCAAGTGCACAAACAACGAAGCTGAATATGAAGCTCTTATCGTTGGACTCTCTCTGGCCAAGAAGATTAGAGTCCGACTCTTAACTCGTAGTCAACCAACTACAAGGCACTTACCAAGCCTGGGACTCAAAGATGACAATCTACTTGAACTTGGTCAAAGAAATGCAGTCCTCTTTTGAAGAATTCTCCATCGCTCAAATCCCAAGAGTGGAGAACACCCATGCTGATGCCTTTGCCAACCTTAGCTCAACCCTTTAAGGCTCATCCCAATCATCCATCCTACTACTATTTATCCAATGGCCAACCGACTGGAAGGAACACCCCACGAACAAGTTGCCTAACCTGAAAGAGCCCAACGAAGTAGTGGACATCGAACCGACTAACTCCTGGATGACCCTAATTTGGCAAGCTATACACATTGACTTAGCAACCTATGTTAAGAAATGCGATAGTTGTCAAAGATTCGCTCATGTCTCACACCTCCCACCTAAGTGGCTTAACTCCACTCTCACATCTTGGCCATTCATGAAGTGGGGGGATGGACATAGTTGGAAAACTCTCGACCGCACACAGGCAACGACTCTTTATTTGCAGTCAGCTACTATTTTACTAAGTGGATCAAAGCTGAAGCACTTGCCTAAGTCAGAGACCGAGAGGTAAAAGCCTTCATCTGGAAACATGCAATCTACATATATGGAATACTGAAGGAAATAGTTACCGATAATGGATCCCAATTCATCAGCTCAGGTTTCAAAGACTTCTGCGACATGTGAGGGATCAAGCTCAACTTCTCTACCCCCTACAACCCCCAATCAAATGGCTAGGATGAATCATCCAATAAAACAATCATGCAGACTTTAAAGAAGTGCCTCTAGAAAGCTAAGGGCACATGGGCGGACGAACCACCTGAGGTCCTCTAGTCCTACCAAATAATAGCCCACTTGTCCACAGGCGAAAGCCTTTTCTCCATCACATATGGATCTGAAGTAGTCATCCCAACTGAAGTATCGGTCCCCTCAACCAGACTCCAATGGTCAGATGAAGAAGCCAACAACTAGAACCTTTGTCACAACTTGGCATAGTTGACGAACTACGCAAATGGGCTAACATCCACAACGCAATCTGTTAGGAAATGATCATCTATGGCAGCAGAAACAAAATTTTTAAACCTTATATATCGTTCCTTAGAACCCACAATTAGGGCACAAAAATTACAGTTTATCAAAAGATAAGAATCTGTAGATTTTATTTTAGAGTTTAAGAAACCATACCCACGTTTGGAGGCTCCTCCAACTTGTCTCGGAATGGGTTTCGCTACTGACCCAAGTGTAGGATCGAACTGATGTAGTCTACACAAAGACAACCTCAAGGAACTAAAGAGGGATTTGCTAGATCCTCTTTAGCCTTTAAGAACCAAGAAGAAAAATCAAAATAATTTGATTCAAGCAAAAATGCAATCTGCCATAGAGAGTGTTTCAAGGGGCTGGAGTGTTTTTTTTCTTTCAATGAATGAAATGAGTGAGTAAAAATATTTCACAAGGTGTGCACTTATATATTGCACACTTTATCCTATTCCATCATGGAATGGGCTTGGGCACCAACCCAAACAGCCCCAATTAGATATTATTATTATTATTATTGTTATTTCAATTAAATTAAATTAAAGTATATATAATATATTAATATTTAACAATAACAATAATTCATTTAAATATAATCTCACTTATTTAAATATAAGTTCACTTATTTAATTTTTTAAAAATAAAAAAATTAAATAAAGGCTATGACCTTAGCAAATTTAATTGCACCGTAAAATTACCAAAATACCGTTTCGCCTAAAAAGATGAAAACGCCCTTCTTATAAACTAGTTCTTAAATTATCTTCTATGTGTGTGACCCATAGGCTCCTCATCATACCGGTAGTGTATGGTATCACGATTAACACCAATTAATTGTTTCACTACACACAGGCCAAGATTGGCCCCTAGCAAGGCATCATGGCCACTCGATAAATTCGGATTCAGCGAAGCAGTTACCTGTCAACGATATGGTTACCGTACAATCCAATCCTTTCATCAAACGTTATCTCGATGAGACTGAGGCATAGAAATAGTGTCAACCTCGGTTACTCTCGATATCATGTATTCAGTTACTGGACCAATGACCTGAATTATAAACTGGATAGAGCAACAACTCAATCCCACTGTGGCCACAGTTTTAGTGTCATTGCCATTTACTGAATTGTGCCGTGAGATAACTTCTCCTGTACCCGAGAGTGATAAATCCTCTGTCGATCCACCATAGTCTTGATACACTCCTTGATGCAGCCCATCACTACCATATTGACAACTCTAAATAGAACTGCGTTGGGCTAGTGTCAAATTGCACCAATCGGTGCATAAGGCGCTCCGATGATCTCAAGTCTAAGGATCACATGCACCACCATTCGTTAGAGGATTTGTTCCATAGACACTGGGGTTACCATCCATGTGGAATTCTCTGGTGGGCCAGTCCAGTGAACTTGCCTGCAGCAAGCACCCATGTGTTGCACCAGGTTGTCACCAAACAACCTTGACAAGTGAGATCAGTCACTGCCTTTCGACAGAGTCATTCAACACTATGATAGCCTTACCATATTGTTTGTGCCCTTACTGCAGAACAATACTAGGGCTATAGACATTTCTAGAATGGCCACCACATGTAATCATAGGGTTCTCACTATCAAGATTTGAAACACTTGATACCCTCATCACGGTTCTACCATTCTAAGGACATATATCAATACATGCAATGATGATTTACGTGATATAGAATAAAATTTCTTTTATTGATCAATGACCATTATTACCAAAAGTCAATTCTACAATAATTGATTGGCTCTAGGGCATCTACTTTAACAAAATCTACCAACAGCAGGCTGCTCGACACTACAATCGTAATGTCTGAGTAAGAACTTTCAAACAAGGTGATTGGGTCCTCTGCAAAGTCTTTCAAAACATTAAGGAGATCAACTCTAGCAAGCTCGGCCCTACTTGGGAGGGTCCCTACAGGATCACCAAGGAAGTAGGAAAAGGCGCCTACAGACTTCAAACCTCCAAGGGCAAGGACATCAACAATAGTTGGAATGCAATTCACCTCAAATGTTACTATTTTTAGTTAGACTCATCTTATCAGCAATTATTTATTCTTGTTTTTGTTTTAAAGAAAAGGATGAATGGGTCTGTCCACCTCCTTCACCTTTAGTCAACCTTGAGGCCTGAATTCAATAAAAGAACTATTCAATGATATAGTGACTTACACCTTCACTTAGCCCGGAACGATGCATAAACTTACACTTTCAATCGACCGGACCGATTCATAAATTTACACCTTCAATCAACCCAGACCAATTCATAAATTCACACCTTCAGTCGGCCTATACCGATTCAGAAAATTTTACCTTCAATCAGATCGGATCGATTCCTAAATTTACACTTTCAATCAATCTAGACCGATTCAATGACTTACACCTTCAATTGACTCAGACCGATTCATAAATTCACACCTTCAATCGTCCTAGACCGATTCACTGAAGTTAGCCCAGCCTGCCTAAAGCAACTCAATGGCTTACATCCCTAGTCAGCCATACTGACAGACTCCTATCTCCTTCGAAGTGATATTAGCAACTGAGCCACTTGGCTTCGTCCGCATCACAACATGAGTAGTCGATCCAAAATGGTTGAATCGGTTCGCTCACTTGAAGCGGACCATGGTGTCTTGGCTACAACGCTCCACCCTAGAGAAGATACACCTACAAGGCAACTAACCAAGGAAAGAGGGTTCCACCCCCACACATCTACAAGCAATCAACCCATCCATTCGCGAAGAAAGTAGTAAAATGGAAACACAAATCCCCAACGGCTAAATATAAGATAAACAAAAAGCCCTAAGTGACTGAGTATCAGGTACAAGAAAGGCACATAAGCCATGAAAGGGCATTGCAGGCCCCAAAAATACATGAGAAAGGAAAAAATAAATCTAAGGGGCATCATGACCCACATCGTCAGTGTGAGTCATCTCACCCACCTTCGACTTAGTCACCCTATCACTGGCCCCAACGATCACCTATACAACCTGGTCACTAGTATCCTCTGTAACCAATTACCCTGGCTGACTAGGGAGGTCGAATATCTGGTCACCGACCTGCTCCTCCTCATAATCCAGGCGACCATGAGCCTCTTCCTCCTCCTCCTCCTCCTCCTCCATCTCCCGTAAGAGTTGAATGTCCATCCGGGTTCTAGTGGGAGGTGTTCCCAACCTTGTACTCCAGCATCAACTCTCTCCTAGCCCTAATGATGGCATCATCAACGATACTGAGGCACTGCTCCCTCAGTGACTCAACCTCCACATTCTTCTTTGCCAACTCCCTCTTCAGTAGTTCCAGCTCGGCCTCGACCTCCCTCAGTCATTGTTGGCTCTCCCACTTAGCCTTCTGGATCGCCGCCTCTCTGTGTCGCAGATTGGCGTTGGAATTAGATATATCATGTATCCTCTTCTCCTACGACACAATGGATTTCCTAAGATGCAGACTGCTCGTAAAAGCCTACATGACAAAACGACTTAATCAGTACACAATCACTATAAGTACAATAAGGAAAAATCTGGCTCATACTCAGAAAGCGCGGAAAACCCACCAGTCAGCGACCATGACAGCACCCATCTAGTTCAGATGGCTCTCATCTATTAGGAATAGGAATGAATCGACCAACTTGCTTATGGAAGCTACGTCCGAATAGGTCGATGCGGAAGCTGAGATATTGAAACCATAGTCTTGGATGACCCAGCCCTGGGTACAGGTGATTGATTTGGTGGAATCACAACCACATCCTCCACTTTCTTCTCCTCTTTGGCCGAAGAATCCCTCTTTCCCTTCTCGTGAACCTCTCGCGATAGACTCACTCGCACTTGGGACGGTCAATTTCTTCATAAGCTTCTCTGCAATGGTAAATTCCTCAACAGCCAGTAGGTTCAGTCTTGACTTACCAGACAAAATATGATTGTAGTAACGATGAGTAGCACAATCCAATTCTACTTTAGCGAAGGGAAGGGGATACCTCGCTAAATCGCACCAACTTCGACCCAAAGGTGACTTGTCCTCAGGTTTGCCTCGTCCAACACACCCCGTCAATCCCTCTGCGCCTTTGGAATAGTAAGAATCTTTTGGTCTGCACATCTAAGCCATCCCCACTCTGCCTGGCATGGTTGAATTCAAGATCTACTAAGAAGAAACACAATAAGACTTTAGTAATCAAAGTGTTAACAAAGACAAAGTTTCTCACCAGTCGTTTGCTAGGTGTATAGAATCTCGTCTTGGCCTCTTTCCCCAAAGACTGCTTCACGCCTCATGAAGAAGAAGCATTCTTTCCAATTTTTATCACTCGATCGGAGGTCGGTCACAAGGTGAGCCCAATCATGCCTGAGATTGATCAGATACCGACCTTTATCCTTGTGATTTTCCTTCAAGAAGTACGAGTATAATAGCTCATGTAGCCCAAACATCACCTGATTTTGCAACAGAGGTCCTCTAGAGCCATCAACAACCTCCACCCATTTGGCATAATCAGGGTTGACACAATATGAAATGGTTCAAGACCTCCCAGACAAGATGAGGGATGGGAAGCCTTAGCCCATCATGGAACCATTTCTCATAGGCGCTCACCCAACCTTTTGCCTCCCAGTCGACCCTTTCGTACAACTTCAACACCCTATTTTCGACATGCTCTAGGATGTGGTACATCATTTTAATCCGCCATACATCACTCTCCTTCAATAAGGGCAGATAGTCTCTACTCAATATCCCACTACCAGGCCGACTCAGTTCATCCTCAGAGCCACTACCTATGGAAGGTGAACTCTTATAATCGTCAACTTCATTGGAGTCTTCCCTACTCTTCCCTTGCTTATACGACTTACCATCACTTAGGGTGGCACTGTTCAGCCTAAGAGTGGCCATGTTCACCCCTTTTGGTATATCAACTAGAACGCCTCCACCCTCTAGCATCATCACCATCGTTGGGGCATTCTCATACTCATTCCCAACTTTCATCTCCACCATACTCAATTCGCTCGACTTTGACCGCGACATTGAACTCTTTGTCCACTCGACACGGACAACCGACTGGCTTTTAATTCCAAGTTGAACCTATCCAGAAGCACCACTCGTCTAGAGCTGCCAACCGATTGGCTCTCAAATTAGTTAACACTTTGACCTGCAAGTAACTTTCGGCTTGGTCTCAGTGACCAAATACCTGCTTCCCTAAGACCCTTGCACAGATCCCTCACTACTCGGTCTTGAAGACAGGGCGACCCAAGAGACCAGCCCTTACCCAAAACCACACTTCTTCACTACCACACTCAACCCGAGATGAGCCAAATAAGGAACCAACGTAAAACGATTTCATCCTCTAAAACCCAGAAAAATATGGAAAATCCTAAACACCAAAAATCTCCCAAACGCTAAACCTAAGATTCAAAATCATTCAATTTGCTTACTCCGTTCAACCCAAACAAACACAACACCACCTTCTTGAACTCCTCTAAAGTCTACCAAACTCCACTCTAATCTCTCCAAAAATGCCGTAAAAACAAAGAAAAAGAAGAAAGGAAATAAAAAAGAGTGCAAATGAGCAAGTATTTACCGTAAAAATGACAAAAGTTCCTGAAATCATTCACAGCTGCGAAGAAAAACTGAAGTACAGAGAAAACGCGAAAGTAGAAAAGAGAAATGGGGAGTAAAATGAAACAAACAGCCACCTCACAAATTTATCGACGAAAGTTGTCAGAGCCTACGCGTGGCAGCCTCTGATTGGTCATCGAATAGTGTGATTTCATTTTCCCACCTAAATTCAGAAGACATCTTAGTCGTACATGTGTCCAGAGATGGATTATTCAGCTTCACATTACCCACTTAGGGTTCGGGCCACCACAGTCATGCATAGACCATAGGGTGCTAACCACTCGCTCCGTTCACCCAATTGAGGGGAGTTAGTATCGAACATACTGACTGTCCAACCTCAGCTCTTCGACCTTGTGACAAACGCCGCTAAAGCGAAACATAACCTCTGTCCTCTCGGTCATCCCGACCTAATGAACTAGCCACTTGATTGGGAATGCACATGCACATATTCATTTGGATTGAACCAATTAGCCTAAAGCACCACCACCAGAATGACCCTAACATATTCCACTCGGTTTGATACACCGAGTGAGGACATCTTCATGGGATAGCTCGCATACCTTCTCACTCGACTCGATACACCAAATGAGAACACTTTCATAGGACGTTTTACAATCTCCCCACTCGGTATGACATACTAAGTACTGAGGAAACCTCTAGCAAATTCTTCCATGCTTCCCCTTGCTCTGATGCACATGACGAGTCTATCAAGGTGAACTCCATTCCCTCACTTGGTCAGATACGCTGAGTGAAGGCATGATGGTGTTTTATCTCCACCTGCCTGGCCCGGTGTACTGAATGCATCACTTACAATAAATGCTATTCTATTTGTTCCCGTAAACCAAGAAGCAGCACGTTCACATGTTTAACCAATTGGTTATGAAGGTCGACTAGGTTCACCTCCATGCAACGTTTACTCTCTAAGTTAAGCACTCCTTAACTTAAAGAGTGGGAGGCAAACTATTAGGGCAAAAAAATGTCCTAGGATCAAATAGGCCCAAAGACGAAGACACCTTCAACAAAGCTCGGAGCCAAGGCCTTAATCTAATTGGGCTCGTAATAGAGTTTGCATATCAGGTCCGTTTGATACACATACCAAAGTTCTCACTACTTGGACCTAATCAACAGAGGCCCGATTAGTTTGGGCCTCACCGCCAGTTTATCTAGGTACAGGCCCATTGATCCTAGACAACCTTCTAGACTTTGGATCTACTTGGAACCCAGGGTTGTCTACCTATCCCGGTACTGCTTGAACTCTATCGAAGAGGTCCAACACTACCTTAACTTGTCTAAGATCCGTGTCTTAGACCCTCTAGGACTCCCTTTCCTACTAAGGTAAGGGAGCCAAAGGTTCTCCCTTTTTACAAAACATCAACTCCAAGGATTCTCAGTCTTACCAAGATTCAAAGATCCTATAGTCGCTATATAAATAGAGGCCAACCCTCTCACAGGACACAAACATTACACCTTTAGACCCCGCAGTTCTCACTCTCGAGAATTTTGCATCATAGCCTTAGTTATAGTCTCTAACTAGACTTCTGGTAACCTTCTCTCTCTCTCTAACCCTCACTAAATTAGCCTTACTTAGCCTTGCTGACTTAAGCGTCGGAGTGCCTATGGCAAACACAACCTCGGTGCTTCCCGTTTGCTTCATGCTTGCTTTCTTACGTGTGCAGGTACAACGGATTGCTAGTGACCTTAACCTCACGGGATCAGACTTTATTTTTGTAAAGGTAGATTTTTTTGCATTTACAAGAAGGTAGTCTTCTGCTAGGAGAATTTGGTTATATTTATAGTAATTGTCATGAAGAAAAATTATTATGGATATCTGACGAACCTTTGCACCATTTTTTATAAAAGGTAAAGAAAATTGATATTATTTTCCTCTCTTTTTAGTATTTACAATATTTGTGAAATATTCAGTTTTGTCAAACTTATGAGTTATGTGTGTGCATAAGAGTTATGTGTGCACACTAGTTACTAATTCTCTTATTTGGCTTGTTTCATCTATTGTATGTGTGCACACCAGCTCTCAGTGCACACTATTTGCCAAACTTGTGTCTTGGCTTTTTTCGTTTCACGTGTATGTGCACAATAGTCTGTGTTTACACTCGCTTCAGATTTTTTGCAACTCAACAAGAGTTGCATGTTTGATAAAGGTGAAAAGATATTGTTTATCTTTGTCTCTTACTTTTTAGGACCTCTTTACATATGTCACAAAATGCTTAGGTGGTCCTAGGGAAGTAACCTTTCCCAATTTTCTTTGTGGTCCAAACCAAAAGAAGGAATACTTTCCTTATTTGGACAAATAACGGGTCAACCCCTTGTTAGCTGATGTGGCATTTCATTGTTGAGTAAGAAACTCTTCATTATATATTTCTTCTTCTTGCGTAAATGAATCTAACCTTTTTGGACATTTGTTTCATTCTGTACTCTGAATTTCTTAGAGTATTATTTCTCTTAAAGTTTCAAGGTTCTTTCTCCATTAATGCCAAAACGTTACCCTATCAAACATTGACTTGATGGCTCTTGGAACGTGGTTCCTTTGCTGATG